AACCACCAAAAAACTGGAAGTGGCACTGTGGCTCAAGTGGTAGAGTGCTCACCTTGAGCTGAAGAGCTGAGGGACAGCACCCAGGCCCAGAGTTCAAGCCCCATGACAGACCAATTAAAAAAACTCCTTTTTATTTTGCAATGCTGGGGTTTGAACCCAGAGCCCTGCACATGGTAGTCAAGCATTCTACTACTGAGCTATATCCCAGTCCACAAGATTGCCTTAAGGTCTCTGCAGTTTTGCCATAGAATTCTGGGTTGATGGTCTTGTAGCACTTGGTATCCTTTTTCAACCTTTTGATATAATTTCCGGTAAAACCCGTGGTCGGTGTTGGTGGGGGTCTCTCGTATGTTGTATGTCAGTCAGTTGTGTCTCTGTTTTCAGGATTCTGTGGTTTCAGGTACTTTGAATGTGATGTGTTCAGGTGGAAGCTCTTTTGTTTATCCTAGGTTGGAGGACATTGATCTTGTTAAGTGTGTAGACTTTTTCAACGTAAGCGTTTTGGCTGTGATCTTCTGCCCTTTCTCTCCCTCCCTCCAATACCGCGATGCATGTTGTTGTGTGTGCTGGAGCACTTTGTGGGGTTCACAAGTCTCTGGCTCCATCTACTTTTCTTCACTATTTTTCCTTTTGGTTTCTCAAACTAGATAATCTCAGTTGACTACAAGTTCATGGTTCTTGTTTTAGTCCTCCTTTGTGACTTTTTCACTTATACTTCTCAACCCTAGAGTTTGTCAGGTATGTGTAACTTTTCTTTATTGAGACTCTATATTTGATGAAACATCGTTCTTTTACTTCCTTTTGCAGTGTGTGTATGTGTGTGTGTGTGTGTGTGTGCTCACACTGGGGCTTGAACTCAGGACCTGGGGCTGTCTTTTAGCTTTTTTGCTCAAGGCTGGTGCTTCACCACTTGAGCCATACCTCCACTTCCAGCTTTTTGCTGGTTAATTGGAGATAAAAGTTTCATGGAGGGGCTGGGAAGTTGGCTCAGTGGTAGAGCACTTGCCTTGCATTCATTGAGGCCCTGGGTTCGATTCCTCAGCACCACATAAGCTAAAAGAAAAAAGCCGGAAGTGGCACTGTGGCTCAAGCGGTAGAGTGCTAGCCTTGAGCTGAAGAGCTGAGGGACAGCACCCAAGCCCAGAGTTTAGGCCCCACAACCGGACCCAAAAAAAAAAAAAAAGTTTCATGGATTTTTCTGCTTGGGCTGACTTTGGATCTTGATCCTCAGATCTCAGCCTCCAGAGTAGTTAGGATTTCAGGTGTGAGCCATCAGTGCTAGTCCCCTTCCTTTTTCTTTTTGGGGTCCGGTCGTGGGGCCTGAACTCTGGGCCTGGGCGCTGTCCCTCAGCTCTTCAGCTCAAGGCTAGCGCTCTACCACTTGAGCCATAGAACCATTTCTGGCTTTCTTTTTTCCTCTTTGCTTATGTGGTGCTGAGGAATCGAACCCAGGGCCTCATGCATGCAAGGTAAGTGCTCTACCACTGAGCCACCTTCTCAGCCTGCTAGTCCCCTTTCTTTTTTTGGGGGGGGGTGGGTCCGTCCGGTTGTGGAGTCTGAACTCTGGGCCTGGGCGCTGTCCCTCAGCTCTTCAGCTCAAGGCAAGTACTCTACTACTGAGCCACCTTCCCAGCCCCCCTTTCATTCTTAATTGTACTTTCTTTTAGTTCTTTGAAGATATAGTGGTTGATTTAAAGTCTGGCTAGTAAGTTCAATGTCTGGACCTTTTCTTGCTTCCTTTGGTGCATCCACTTTCTGCTTTTTTCTGCTATCTATGGGATACCCAGTACATACCAGCATCTCCGAGGTGCTTGGGCTCTCTGAATTCCTTTAGGTTTAGCCGCTGGGGAGACCTGGGGAAGCAGTTCCATACTGGAGAGAGGGAGGGCTGCGAGTTTGATTGTGCCCTGTGGCCTTGTCATTGTTCTCTAGTCACTGCAGAATGTCCATCCTGCCAATGTGCCTTCTTCCAGGTTTGGCAGATGCTTTCTCTGCATCCTGCTGCCTGTCCTCTGCTGTCCCTTGCAGCTCCCTTCTTCAGCTTGTCAGTAGTCCCTTTGCAGGAACTCCTCTGTGAAGTCTGTCCTTAGAGTCCCCACTTAACTTCCCATTGAGACTACCTGATACGGAAGGAAGCTCATGGAATCAGGAGGGAGGGAGGAGATGGGGCAAGCCTTAAATCTCCACGGCCAGTTGTCAGTGTCATACAGAATTCATTGTACAAAGACTCCTGCTAGTAAAATAAGGAAATTGTCCTAGAAGCCCAAACTTTGAGTGTAGATGTTTGAAGAAAAGCAAGCCTTTGAGAACAGATTGTGCTTAATGGCAGTCAAGATGTTAAAGAAAGAAAGGAAGCAATTCCTCAGGCAGTGGCAGAAGTTGTCGATACCACAAGCCCACAAAGGGCTGCTGTTCCCTCGGAAGCTTGCTCAGCCTTCATCCCATAGCCCATGTTCTCATGGTCCAGCCTTTGGTGTCGGAGGGGTATGTAGCTGCCTGCTAGACTCTCCACTCCTGGGGCCCAGGGAAGCAACCGCCTTCTGAGAATGCTGTCCATCATGGACTGGGCTGTTCCGCCTCCAGACCCAGTGCCCAGCTCTTTCCTGGCCTCAGCACACTCATTCTGGTGGTCATAAGGGCAGTGATGTCCATCCTGCCAATGTGCCAGGAGCCACACTGCAGTGTACTAGTGTGTGTGGCCAAGTGTGATAGAGATTTCCAGATGCTGTCATGACCTGCCACTGCAGAGGGCCTCGGACTTTGACTAGCAGTCCATCCCAGCCATCTGGTTCTCCAGTGTGTCTGTGCCTAGAGGTGACTTTGGAGCGGCTCGCTCCAGGAGCCAGACAGGGTGGGGCCAGAGGCCTCCAAATCCGGGCTGCATTCGGTGTCCTCATGAAGACAAGATACCTGGTCTTGAATCTTGAATCTTGACTGATTTAAATTACTTAAAAATTTGTTTTGTGACTGGATGAATATTTTCTTTTTCTTCTTGTAAGGGAGAAAGAACATAGCATTTATTGAGAACATTCTGTATACCAGCGTTATTGGAAATGTTTTATATATTTTAGTTGCAATACAGTATATATTAACAAATTTATAAATGCATACTTAACCTGAGAAATTGGGCCTGTTCATGAGAATGGGTGTAGTCAGTTTAAGGAGTGCTTGGAGTTGGTGCATTAACGTGTGTGGTCCTGGCTCTTATCGTTGCAGGGGCATTTTAACCACACCAGGGACCGCTAAAGAGCAAGCTGCAAATGAGAAGATTCTAGTCTGTGTGATGGCCAGTGCAAACCCCTTACAGATGGGCACCCACCGGTCAGTGGTGGCCCGGCGGGCTGCTCTTTGCTGGCCAGTTGTTTGTTTGTCTTCTTGTTCAGGTAATCTCTGTCTTCTGCGCACGAGCCAGGGACCTCCCTGTCACTTCCAACCTCCCTTGAAATGTGCTGGAGTAGGGAGATCAATTGTACTATTTAAAAGTTAAAAAAAATTCTGCACCAAACTCCCCATGATGTTTGGGAATAATCGTATCCAGATGTACAGTAGCTCTGTTTTTATACTTTCCCATTGTTTGAGGATGTATCCAGGGCTGCTTGCATACCCTTTTTAATTAAAAGACTTATTTTTATATTTAAAATGTTCTGTAATCTCAAAGTGAATTTTACTAAGTACTAGTTCTGTTATGTGTAATTTTACAGGGACACAACACATTTTATATTAAAATGGAAATTGCTTATTTTCTCTTGAGTTTTCAGTGTGGAAACTGGTGTTCTCTTGTCTGGGTTTGAAGGCTTCCTGAGGTGTCCTGTTTACATGACAGACAAGGTCCTAAGGATATCACTAGACTCTAGGGTTAATCTTCTAAAGCTAGAGGAGGGCCCGAGCCCTTTACGCTCCTGTTCCCATTGTCTTACTCGCTGAGTCATGTTTCCTGCTGGGGAAACATGACATTTGGAAGAGCCGGATCTATAAATAATCCTAGCATGCAGTCAAGGCGGTGGGCTCGACCCTGGAGTGTTGGAGTGGAAGGGGACAAGATGTTGGGAATGAGTCGAAGGCCATTTGTAATGGAGATTATCCATCGTATGCTCAGTGAGAGCCAGAGCTGTGACTGGCACAGAGAATGGCAGCCATCCCAGTGCAGGCAGAGGCTGTAGAGTCCATGGAGTGATCAGGGTTGGTGGCCTGACACCAGTGGCTCACACCTGTGATCCTAGCTACTCAGGAGGCCAAGCTCCGAGGAATGCAGTTTAAAGCCAGCCTGGGCAGGAAAACCTGTGAGACTCTTCTCTCCAGTGAACTACCAAAAAAACCACAAGTGGAGCTGTGGCTCAAGTCGTAGGGTGCTAGCCTTGAGTAAAAACAGCTAAGGAGGGGCTGGGAAGGTGGCTCAGTGGTAGAGCGCTTGCCTTGCATGCATGAGGCCCTGCATTTGATTCCTCAGCACCACATAAGCAAAAAGAAAAAAAGCCGGAAGTGGCGCTGTGGCTCAAGTGGTAGAGCGCTAGCTGAAGAGCTGAGGGACAGCACCCAGGCCAGCGTTCAAGCCCCATGACCAGACCCCCCACCCCAAAAAAAAAAAAAAACAGCTAAGGAATGACAGGCACTGGTGGCTCATGCCTGTAATCCTAGCTTCTAAGGAGGGTGATATCTGAGGATCATGGTTCAAAGCCAGCCTGGGCAGGAACATCTGTGAGACTCTTATCTCCAGTTAACCACCAGAAAACCAGAAGTGGGGCTATGGTTCAAATGGTAGAGTGCTCGCCTTGAGCTGAAGAGCTGAGAGATAGTGCCCAGGTCCAGAGTTCAAGCCCCTTGACATACAAAAAGCAAAATCACAAACACTAAGGGTCAGTGCCCTGAGTTCAAGCCCTAGTACTGGGGGGGAAATTGAGATACACATTTACTTTTTATTTATTTAGTCGGTCGTGGGGCTTGAACTCTAGGCTTGGGCGCTGTCCCTCGGCTCTTCAGCTCAAGGCCAGCACTTTACCACTTGAGCCACAGCGCTACTTCCAACACAGTTACTTTTTATCAGGGGAAGAAACCCCTATCAGACTTGTACGTTCTTTTTATGTGTAAACTCTTTTCCCTGAGTTCACGGTGGGGAGCGTGGTTTGGTGTTTGGGTCACTGCAGTACTCTAGAACTCACCCCAGCTGTCAACGCGACTCACACAGTCTCCCAGGAGCAGCTCCCCTGGGGAAGCACCCCCATCAGAATGCAGCAGACCTGGCACCCATCTTTCCCTGCCAGACACAAGATACCATGTCTCTGATATACCTCAATAAATGGTATGTGTGTAGAGTTGGGGGAGGGAGCGGGGTTGGTGGTACTGGGGATTGAATTTAGGACTTAGGGCTCTGCACTTACTTGCTAAGCAAACCTTCTATGTCCCTTAAACTAGCCCACCCCCCACCCCAGCCCTTCTTTGCTTTTTTTTTTTTTGCCAGTCCTGGGGCTTGAACTCAGGGCCTGGGCACTGTCCCTGAGCTTCTTTTGCTCAAGGCTAACATGCTACCATTTGAGTCACAGCGCCATGTGTGGCTTTTTCTGTGTATGTGGTACTGAGGAATAGAACCCAGGGCTTCATGCATGCTAGGCAAGCACTCTACCACTAAGCCACCTTCCCAGCCCTTTTGGTTTTTGATAGGGGTTCCTGCTCTTCTGGGCTGGCCTCAGACCACCACCTTTCCATAGCTAGGATTGCAGGTATGCTCATCACTCCAGCCTCTGAGCCCTCTCTCCCTCTGCCGCCCCATCAGTCAGCATATCAAAGGATGTGGAGTCCATGCTGACACTCCCATCCCCCCCCCCCAACCCAGGGCCGAGCAACTTCTCTTCAGAGAAAGCAAGTGTCTGTGAAAGATGGCAAGAGTGAGAAAATGGCTGGAGATGGAGGGGATCAGCAGCTGTATCACAAATGCCCAGAATTCTTAGATGGGGACAGGAACACTGAAGACAGTGCGGCACCTGAGGGATAGTGGTCCACATTTTCCACTTAACAAATAAGAGACTTGGACTTGGGGCCAGTTGCCCATCCTGATCTGGCTGCCGAGGCCAGCAGGACCTGGGGGGAGGGAGCCCTGCTGTCCTCAGGCGTGGCATAGACTGGGCATGCCTCTCCAGCCCATCTCACCTGCCCGACTGTCACAGTTGTCCACTCTACCCTCCCCAGCTTCAAAGTCATACCTAGCCCGTCCTCAGGCCTGCAATCGAAAGGAGTGAGGAAAACCAGCAGTTCCGCAGGACTTGGTTTGTGACTAAAATAATACTGGTTCACTGTATCAGAGTGTGGAGACACGCTGAAAACACACCCGCTCATCTCACATGGCCAGTTGGCCAGCTAGTACACACCCTCCAGATGCAAGCTTCCGTGTGGCTCTGGACGAGTGCCACGCAGCGAGCCTCCTCCATGTCACGGTACACAAAGGTCACCTAAGAGGTAGCAGGGGTTTCCACCTTGGAACAGTCTGTGGTTTGGTCAGCTCTTCTGGGCAGCACCAGGTGTCCCTCTCTGATCAGACTGAACGGGCAGGGAGGGGATGTGGAGACCCCTCTACCTCCTCACCTCTAGAAAGGAAGGAGGGGGGATGTGCTCCCTGCTGAGGTGGCCGGGCAGCTGCTGACCAGGCCAGCTGTCCACGCAGTGCTGACTCCCCAAGCCGGCTTGTCAACACCACAGGTAAGTCTTTTGGGAAAACCCACAGAGCCTTCACTACCCCAGCAGGAGCACCTGGGATTGTTCCTCCAAAGTAATTCTTCATGTTCTTGTCAGGGGAGGAAAAACATTTCCTTATACCCCAAAGAAACGGCCTAGCCATGTGTGTGTCATAGGATAAATTTTTACTTTATATTCTGTTTATTACTGGTGTGCTGCGTGCATGTGTGTGTGTGTGTAAGTGCATGTGTGCTAAAAATACATATACTACTGTCAAAGTGCTGGATGCTGGTAGCTCACACCTATAATCCTAGCTACTGGGGAGGCTGAAATTTGAGGACTGTGGTTGGAAACCACATTAAGAGAGTGTATCTGAGCCAGGCACTGGTGGCTCACTCCTGTCCTATAATCCTAACTACTTAGGAGACAGAGATCTGAGCATCATGGTTGAAGCCAGCCCAGGCAAGCAAGTCTAAGACTTATCTCCAGTTAACCACTAGAAAACCAAAGTGGCGCTGGGTCTCAAGATGATAGAGCACTACCCTTGAGCAAAAGAACTCAGGGATAGTGACCAGGCCCTGAGTTCAAGCCACATGACTGACAAAAAAAAAGTATATCTGATACCCATAATTGTTAAAGAAAAAAATTAAATTGTAAATGTGTGAAATGAAAAGTAAAATCATCTCTAACCCCTTTACTCAAGAATGACTAATATCAACACTTACTACTGTATATATTGTGCTGTACATATTGTATTCTCACAAAACCTTTTCTATGTGAATATACTTTCCTATAAATAATCCACTTTGATGTACACATTTTCTGTGCGTGTTTGCTGGTACTGGGACTTGAACTTAGGTCCTACTTGTCTGTTTTTGCTTTTGAACAACAATGAGCCAGCCACTGGTAGTCACCACATGCTCTCAGGCAGATGTGGGCTCCTAGCAGGTTGAACTCAGGCAGAGTAGAGTAACTGTCGGCAGGGGATGGAATGGAGGAGGGAGGGTGGATGAGGAGTTTAGTCGATGGTGTACAATTTCAGCTGTGCACACTGAGTTGTAGAGCTCTGGTTGGTAGCACTGTGCTGCAGATGCAATGCCATCCTGTACCGGTGGCCCCTAGCGCTTCCCGCTAGGCCTCAGCTCTGCCACAGCGCCAGGAGGACCTTGCTCCTTGGTGGCTTCTGACAGTGCGCTCTCTCTCTGTCTCTCTCTCTGTCTGTCTCTCTGTCTCTCTCTCTGAAGGTGGCAGTAACTCTTGGAATGGGTGCTGAGTCAGCATCCTGTGACACAGCAGGCAGAGACTTTGACAAAGCCTCCTTGTCTTTCCAGATGGTTCCACTTAGGATGCGGTTTCACTGGCATCCGGAGTAACTGATCTATGCATTCAGGATCCCTTGTCTGAAGCCCTCACAGGCTGCAGTTCCATGCAAGCTTCGTGGATTCCCCGGGGAGCCATTTGTCCCCTCAATCCTGAAGTGAGTGGCAGTCCTCGGGACCCTGGCCGCTGTGGGTCTCGAGGTAAGCACCAGCAAGCCCCACCAGGGCCTCTGGAGCCTGAGAATCACAAGGTCCTAGTATTTTACAAAACTCCGCTGCAGCTGCAGCCGCTGTTAGCTGTTTTCTTGCATGATTTCCATCTGTCTTAGAAAGTTTAGATTCCAGCATAACAAAGACAATGCTTACCTCAGCTCTATGTATTTCCTGTTTACGCAGTTGACATCAAATGCTTCTGGAAGCTTCCACGGTGGTATTTGTTCCTTGGCAAAGGTTTACTTTGCATATTACCTCCACCAGTATATGACTAAAGTTAGCAGGTAATGTGTGGAAAGCGTTCTTAATATGCATTGTTTTCTCCTCAAGGTAATGCAAGAATTTTTAGATGCTGTACTGGTAATTTTGCTTATTCATGAGGCTGAAGCTCAGAGCCGTGGTCTTATTCGCTGGTGACTCCTGAACTTGGAATAGACAGTTTGCATGTGTGGCTGTGGGCGCATAGGCTGCGGCTAGCATCAAGGAACTGCTGTTGGTGATGTCTTACACTGGCT